CAGAGCCTTGGGCGACATAGTTTAGTGTGTGGTGTCCCTGCTCATGGCAGGGGGGTTGGAACTAGATGATCTTATGGTCCTTTCCAACCCAAACCATTCTATGATTCTATGAAAACAGAACTATTAAAAAAGCGTAATATATACTTCAAAATCTTTTTCGAAACCTTTTAAACTTCTAAGGGATATATTGTCTTTTGGGGAAAGAATAAAGAGAAAAATTTGAAATATTGCATGTAAATGTTTTACTGTAGGAAGCAAATAGAAGAGATGGAAGAAAAACAAAGATCTGACAAAGCAGAACTTGTAAGAATGCAGCAAGAAGTAGAGTCACAGCGCAAAGAGACAGAAATAGTACAGCTGCAGATTCGAAAACAGGAAGAGAGTCTGAAACGGAGAAGTGTTCACATTGAGAGCAGGTTAAAGGATTTGCTGGCTGAAAAAGAAAAGTTTGAAGAAGAGAGATTACGGGAACAACAGGAGATAGAGCTTCAAAAGAAAAAACACCAGGAAGAAATTTTTGCCCGTGTCAAAGAGGAGTTGCAGCGACTGCAAGAACTTAATCATAATGAAAAAGCAGAGAAAATGCAGATCTTCCGTGAACTAGAGAGACTTAAAAAGGAAAAAGATGAACAGTATATGAAGCTGGAATCAGAAAAAAAGAGACTTGAAGAACAAGAACGGGAGCAGGTGATGCTGGTGGCTCATTTAGAAGAACAGCTTCGAGAGAAGCAGGTCATGATAGAGCTCTTGAAGAGAGGGGATGTACAAAGAGTTGAAGAAGAGAAAAGAGATCTTGAAGATATTAGGGAATCTCTTTTGAAAGTCAAGGAGGCCCGATCTGAAGGTGATGAAAAACGTGAAGAGTTAGTAAAAGCACAGCATGATTTTGTAGAGTTTAAAAGGAAACAACTGGAACAGTTGACTATTTTGGAGAAAGATTTAGTTCAACAAATGGATCACCTAGAAAAGGAAATAGCAGATGAAAGAAGAGCTCTGGAACACTTAAAATATGCACATGAAGACCATTTAAATCTCCTGAGAGATGATGAAAACTTTGTGGACGCTGTATTCAAGGCTGAAGAAGTTGAAAAGATAAAGACAGCGGAATACAGGCTCCAATCTAAAGTACGCCAGCTTGAGTACCTGAAGAGTAGTCATTTGCCAGCTCTGCTGGAAGAAAAACAAAGAGCTTCTGAAGTCCTTGATAGAGGCTTGTTAGGGTTAGATAATACTCTCTATCAAATAGAGAAAGAAATAGAAGAAAAAGAAGAGCGGCTTGCCCAGTATAGAGCTAGCACAAATCAACTGCAGCAGCTTCAAGAAACCTTTGAATTTACAGCCAACATAGCTCGTCAGGAAGAAAAGGTTCGGAAAAAGGAAAAAGAAATCCTTGAATCAAGGGAAAAGCAGCAGAGAGAGGCACTGGAGCAAGCTGTTGCCAAGTTAGAAAGGAGGCACTCTGCTTTGCAACGTCGTTCAACGATAGACTTTGAAATTGAAGAGCAGAAACAGAAGCTTGCCACCTTGAACAACAGCTGCAGTGAACAGGCAGGTCTGCAGGCTAGTCTAGAAGCTGAGCAGAAAGCCCTCGAACAAGACCGAGAACGGTGAGTGTTGTGGTGGCTTCTGTTTGTTAGACCCTACCCACTAAAAGCGAATCAATTTATACCTTAGATGTTGAGGGAGCGACTTGTGCTGTGTCCCAGTGTTGGAGTTTCTTGATGAGTTTCATGTAGTTTACCCAGAATAGAGACTCTTGCTCGCTAGAGATTCTTGCTCGCTCTTTTATTTCTGTTATGTTCAGATACTTATCCCATCCTCAGCAGTATAGTATTTGCATTAGCCATCACAGTACTTAAACAGTTTTACCTATCGAGAGAGATCTGCCAACCTTATGTTCTGCTCTTTCAAAAGTAAGTATTAGCTAAGAGCGTTTTTCTCTTACAATATTAATGTGTAACATTTTGTTTCTTTATCAGTAACAAGGTAGATGTTCAAGATTTGGAGACTGATAGTTATTACAGTAGACTGCCAACTGTCTCAGCTGATGATGTACTCAACACTTCTGGTATTCAAAGTAAACAGGTGTAGTGTTTAATTTTTTGCTATTGGTTTCAGGACTGAATAAATAGAGTAGCCGTACATCCATGTAAAATTTGATGGTGGTTTTTAAGCTTATTGGAAAATATACAGAGCCTTTAATACAGCCCTATGTGATGAGAAACCCTTCTAAGTACAGAAGCAATGTCATCAGTTATACACATATCTTGTAGCATAACCTTCAACCTAAGTATGGAAGGCTCAGAGCAAAGTGATTCAGGAAAGGAAGATGCTGTCTGTGAGGAAGAAGAGGAAGAAATCTTTTGTTTTATTTTTGGCCGAAGCAAAAATCCACAGGGATCAATGCATTTAATCCATGCAGTATGGAAAGAGAGCATAATTGCCATGTTTATATGTGTTGTCTGGTTTGCTAACACGAGAGCTTTGAAAACTGTGATTATTGATGAAACAATGAAGTGTTTTTTCTTGAGGTATCATTTGTCATTTGCTTTTTTAGTATTCCAATAATTATCTGACTCTTCTCTTGTAAGCCCTTCAAACAGATGCTTCATTAGAAAAACCACCTAAAAAAAGAAACTTGCCTATAGCCAAATTGAAGAGCTCTTCTGTATCCTTTTCCTTTTAAACCATTATCAGAGGAGAATAGTTCCTTTCTATACCCTGTGTAGAGGTCACTTTTTCAGAGCTACATTGTGTGGATTTTAGTTAAGCGTTTTCAATACTGATTCATCATTTTGTGGTGGATATTGCCATTATTTTTCAAAATTGCCTTAAACATAAACACCTCATTTCCTACTCTAAGCATCTCGCTTGACTGAAGTTATCTATAAACAACTGGAGTTTCCACAAAAATAGACAGCTTAGCCCTCAAGAGGTTGCTGGGTTGTGTGATAAGTAAAAAAAATACGTTGTCAGCTGGAGGACTGAGGTTTAGAAAAGATACCAAGGAAGTGAAAAGGTCTCTTTTCCTTTTTCATTCCCTCTTGCTTTTTTTCTTGTTTACTTTAAAGTCCTCTTGCACAAACTGAATAAAACTTTGAAGTCTTTCAGTCAATTGCCCAGGGCCCAGAAAATTCAATTCAGAATATTTTTATGAATGTTGATATACTAGAAAATCTTAAGATACATGATCGTATGTTAAACATTTCCGGCTGCTTATCGCTGTTCTGTTTGAATTTACACTTCACAGTACACAATGTCTTTGATGCTATAGGAAGCGTATGAATTTTATGTTTCTTATTGTTTATCTAGCTGCCATAATGGGATGATGTGCTCTGGTTCAGATCAGTGTTAACTCTCTGAAAAGGTTTAAATGCAATATTGATTTGAAATGCTTTATTAGTGTAAGTCCATCATAATGATAAAATATTTTTTTTTTCCCAGTTTAAATAGTATGTTAGCTCAAATTCTTTCACCTTCAGGGATGACCCCCAAAATGATGATTTGAAGTTAACTTATACTGGAATAATGCATATATGTTTTGTCTTTACTGGCAGAGGTTTGCACAATAGAATTAATATCAAGCAACTTTAGAGTCATCATTGAGACAAAGAGAGGTATCGCTCACAAGTGGCAAGGTGCAGTTTAGTGTATTTACTGGTGGATGCATGACACGGCTGGATAAGTTTATAGCTACAGGAAGTGATATTTTTTGATAGTAGGATGTTTACAAATCAAGAGATAAGCTTTTTTCGTTTAATGTAATTCTGATTTTTGTGGTTAAGTTGATTTTCCATAGATGCAAACACTCTTCTAAATCCATCAGCCATCTCCTATCTGCTTTCCCTCAGGATGCAAGATTGTTTTGCTGCTAATCAAAAGAAACAGATAGCTTCTGGCAGTGCTGCACAAAGTACTCTAAAAATGAAGTAACAATTCAGCCTGCTTTACTCCAGCCTAAGCATCAGCAATTGTTATCTCTTTGATTTTCTGTTTTAACCTCCAGGATGGAATAAAGTCATTGTAGCATTGTACTTCAATTTAGATATATGCAGTTATAGGGTAAGTGATAGAATCCCATCTTTGCCTGGTTTCCCCTGCTTTTGCAGGAACTTCTTTTCTTTCATCCTTTAATTTTCAAGTATCTTAATTTTCAACCTCTAGAAAAAAGAATTACCTTTAGAAACAAAGGTTGTAATAGAAATGGGGAAGGTTATTACTGTGTTACTAAACTAATCTCAGCTGCATTGCAAGTGAAAAGTGTGTTCTGCAGTTTACTTCGTTACAGTACAGTTTAATTTGACTAAGTGATAAATATTGCAAGAAATGCTTCTTAATTTATACTAGTTACATCAGGCCTTTTCACTCAAAAATCCAGTCTCCAATATTCTGTGCATAAACCTGTCTAGTAGGACATTTATTTGTCAAAACGAGGAGGTTTTCATTTCAAAAGATGATTTATTAGGTGTATATAAAATAAATGCTAGATGTTTTATTTTGTAAGTAAACTTTCAAAAACATATATACAGACCGAAGGAATAACTGGGAAATAAGATTTACAAGTGTAGTACACAATTTAAAGATTTTCTTATAAATATGTTTTGCCCCATCCTTGTTTTAGGTTTGTCTTTTTTCTTTTCAGATTAGTGCTGTATTTTGAGCTTCTAATTTTTTTCCCCCCATTTGTTCATTTACTTCACACTGGAAGCTAATAACTGAGGTCATTGACAGAGTTCTCTAATGAGGAAAGTTTATTCAAGTGATCATAATAGATAGGTTAAGCCTTAATAGTCTTAATTAATGTTTAATGTGCTGAGTGAGATACCTTTTGCATCGGAAGCTATTGAAGTTGTTTCATTTAATAGTACTTCTGCTGTAATGTTTTTTGAGCTGTGTCTATTTTCCTGTCTAAACATGCTTGAAGAAAAATTAGGATTTTTACATCTTCATAAATATGAATACCTACAATCTTAGGTACATGTATCCCAGTGCAAGTACAGTACTTTCTGTAACAACTATGGGAATCAACTCTAAATCAAAGCAAATTACATTTTAAGATCTCTTTATAGCCTGGACCAGGAAATCCAGCAGCTGAAGCAAAAAATATACGAGGGTGATGGTCAGAAAGGAAGTCATGGCACATTAGAAGAGAGACTCTCCCATACCACTTCCCCTACCACTCCAACAAAGCCACAGCCACTCGCTGCACCGCTAGTTGATGATAGGTAGGTAACCTGCATTTCTGCAATGCTTTGGTAGGAATGCAGCCAATAGCTTTAGAAGAGAAATATCCTGAAAGATTGTTCTGCCAGGGTTGGTTATTAATTAAATACTGCAATTGTACTTAAAACCTAGTCTGGAAATAAAATTAATATGCTGTATTTTACTTTAAATAACCAACAGCCTAATCTGTTGCTCCTGTGCCATTTTATTTTAGAACAGAGGGTTGGAAAATTGTAGTCTAAAATGTATTTAAATTCGTTTTGTGTTTACAGTTAGTTACTTGCCTATATGCTTAAAGCAACAAAGTATATAAAATTGTCTTCAACCTTTTTTTAATAGGGCAGCTGCCTGGTATCACTTAAAATCTATTTAGTATCTGTTCTTTTTACGCTTATACATGCAGTTGTTAGTATCAACTCTTGGAACATTCCTTCTGTTTGAAGACCAAACCTTTGTTAGCCCAAGTTGCCTATATCATAAAAGTGATGAAAGCAAATCATTAAGTAACTAAAGTTGCAACCCCAGCCTTCTATTTCTTCTTCTCTGCTTTAACCCTCAATGCCACTTGTATGTACAGCTGTACACATAGCAGTGGCTTAACCTGTGGCCCATTAAATTGTCTAATTGTGGTAACAAATTGTTAACCTTTGCCTGTTAACTGAACACCTGCTCAAAAGTCCATGCCCAAGGGATAAAACTGGTCTAACATGAGGCCTGCTAATTAAGACTTGTGTGGTACGTAGGATTCATAAGCGTTTCTAAGAGCCCTTTAGCCTGTCTTGATTTTTATCTAACAATATACTTCCTTTCCACCTCCCCCCTCCCCACTATATCTTGAAGGATAAATGCCTTTATTGAGCAAGAAGTGCAGAGAAGGCTCCAGAATATTCATCATAAAGCTGAGGATAATGATGTTAGCCTGTCCTGGTCTACAGAAAGTTTAAAGGTGAGCAGAGATAAGCAGGAGATCCTGACCTTCGATGCACCATGCGTAACCACTGATTTAGTTCTGTTGTTCAATAATTTCAATCTTTTCCTATATTTACTTGATTTTAATTGACCAAAAAAAGTAACTGCTAAATCAGGGATCATAGTATCATAGAATGCTTTGGGTTGGAAGGGACCTTAAAGATCATCTAGTTCCATCAGTTTTACATTTGATAGTCTTTTTTAATGTGCCTTCCCCTAGTGGCTGTTTTATGTTGTATTCCTTTTCTTTTTCTTTTTTTTCAGGGAACAGTGTGTAAATGGCAATAGAAAGCTCATAGATAAATATCTTTAATTTATGTCTGTAAAATACATTGATAAAATCCCATCTGAGAAGAACAGTAGTTGTTTGTACTTGCAAACAAAGGCTCCTATAAGACCTGGTGATCTAATCAATCCAAAGACTGGCTTGATTGACTTCTAAGCTAGTGGTTTAATAAATATTAAGAAGAAAATAGTTATTTGTGGCTATTAAAAAGAATGTCTCTTCCTATGAGTACTTTTAAATGAACTTACACAAGAAAGGCACTCTTTTTAATAATCACCTGTACCTTTTTTGTTCTTAGGATAATGAGAGGCTTAATAATGGCACTCTTCAACGCAAGCTGAAGTATGAGGTAGGTCATAATTTGTCAGAATGAAATGGTTGTCTTAAATTATGGCATGCCCTGTAATTAAGTTTCTTAATGTTTAGCTGCATAATTAGAATTTTGAATTCACGGGCAAGATTAATGGTTCGTAGAGGCAGCAATGCATATTGTCAGCTGGAATTAAAGTGATTTTTTTTCAGATCTGGCATAGCTTTTTCCTTATTTGAAAGGTGTGGTGTTACTGTGGATCTTTCTGCCTCGTTTTGTCATGATTCTTAAGTTGGAACAGTATCCCTTTCCTGAGTTTTAGAGGATAAAAGCATTTAGTGAGGAGAGATTGTCTGAATTCAGAAAACTTCACATTTTTGACTCACAATGAACAACTATGAGTGTGTCTATAATATTAGCAAGAAGCATCGGGCAAGTTTGCCTTTGTCATGGAGGATTCATAGATGTATTTTAAACTGAGGCTTAGACCCCTCCCACCATATTCGGTTGCCTGACTTCTACTTGAAATATGGTTAATTACTTGTCTTGGTGTGTAAATCCTAAATACCTTTTATGGATTTAAACCTTAATAGTAGCAGGGTTGCAACACCTGTAATTTGGACTTTTTTTTTTTGGCTTTTACACTGTTATTTTTAAACTGTGTTGGACTTCTTACACTGTCTTGGGTAGTGTAGGATTACTTTTTTGTGCATATGTGAAAAATACTAAAGGGCTTATAAATTTCTCTGTTACCCTTTGACTTTTCTGTGGGTTTTGAGTACAGTAAATATAAACCAAGAGAAATGGATACTGTAAAAGAAAAAGCAATGGTGAGCTGGGAAGATCAACCATTCCTGAATCAGGCCTTAATCACTTCTGCTGGATTTTCTCTCTCCAATTTTGAGAGATTGTACAATGATTGTATCAGTTTTGAATGATTGTAAAAATCTAATCAAAATCAAGCCTCAATTTAAGAACTGTTCAAATCGAAGGTTTTGTAAAGACGTTTCTGTGTTCTTCTTTTGAAATTTTTAACAGAAAAGTCAACAGTGGCAGCCACATTATGGCTTTCCATTTATGCCTAAAGATGCTATTTGTGCTTCCAACTTGTGTGGAGAAAACGCGGGAGTAAGAGACCGTAAAAGGCAGAAGGCATATACAGAGATGTGCGATTTATTTTCCAGTTCTGGAAGAATCTCCTCCCTTTTTACATCAGAGAAGGCATTTGAGAATGAAAGGAGTAATTCAGAACAGGAGAGCTTTGCTTGTCATTGTGACACTGAAACTAGTTTAATTCACTCTAAAAATATTAATACTTTAAAGAGTAAAAATGTTCCTTATCAGAATGTTTTATTTACTTCTTTACAAAGTCATGACTTAAATAATGTGGCTTATTCACTCTGCAAGGTTGAAAATTTCAATCATTTTGATGATAAAATAATTACTTCTCCGGATTGTGACAGCTCAAGAACTGAATCTGAGTGTTCCCACTTGAAACAGCTGTCTCCTGTAGGATCCTTAATGGGTGCTAATGAGCAGGCTGGCTTTAACAGCACATCATGCCTTCTCTTTTCACAATCTAATGTGCATTCTGAAATAATAACTTGTAAAGAAAACAGTCCATTTAAGACCATGCACTCGACAGTCGAAGACCAGTCTAGTAATTCTCAGCTTCCAACACAAGAAGCCTCTGATTTGATGTCTTTTAAGTCAACAGCTTCTTGTTTTGATGTGAGACCAGAACACACTTACAGTTTAGGATATCTTTTCAGCAAGCTTTCCTGCCTTTGCAGAGATACCAGTAGTCAGCTGCTCAACACTATGGTGGTTTCTAAGCCAATTAAGGAGTTGGGAAGTTTGTGTGACAGGAGTGAGAGATGTGCACAAGCAGTATCATTAATAAAAAATTTGCCATTTATAAGAAGCTTGCAAGTAAATGTATTCTTCAAGTCAGATGTGAATCATGATGTGTCCCCCTCTATGGATGACGCCAGCACTCATACTGAAAATGTTGCTCAGCCTGAATCCCCTGTGCAAGAGGCTATCACAGTGTGTGCCAGAACAGAAACCTCTGATGCCTGTGCAAGAAAGCCCTCTGAAGGATTTGTATGCTGTTGTAAAAAGGAAGAGCTGGAAAACAGTCTTGTGTTAAGACAGAAATTTGTGCATTTTCCTGATGTCTTTTTGAAGCTTCAGATCTGTTCTCTAGAAAAAGTGCTGGAATTTTTGACCTGTGCCTTACCTCAAATTTGTATTAGGGAGGAGGAGTTGAAAGGTATATATTGGCTTGCTGTTGGCAATTGTAAAACACCTGAACCACAACCTGCTTGCTTGCTTTTGTTCAGCTCTGTTCTGTATGTTGTTATTTCATCAGTTGAACAAGACACATACCACAGTTCCTTGGCAATCTTCTGTGAGGTTCCCATCGTCACTATAAAGGAGATTCAAGTTGGCTTTGCTGGACAGAATATTAATCTTCTGTGCTCTGCTGAAGATGGTTTACTCACAATATTTACCTATAACAAACACTTCACTCAAAGAATTTGCCATGACATAATGAACATTTTGAGTGCTACAATGGATGAGGATGATGCTGTTTATTTAAATCACCAGCTCTTGAAAGATGATTTGATGCAGATTTCACTTGACTGGACATCAGATGTAAATGACTTAGTTTTTTCAAATGGAGTACGATTGTCCTGTAAATTTGGAACTGAATTAGCTGATCTGGTTTACTTACTCCATGAAAATATGGGAAATACTAAACCTTCGTTAAGTGATGTTCATGTACTGCTGTACACCACAGTGAAAGTAGACTGCGCTAAGCAGAGTGTGTATAGAGCTCTTGTTCTTACAACTACTCATATAGGTCTCTTAAGGGAAAGTGATGTCTTTTATCCTGCACCTAACTTTTTGGATGCTTCAAGCCAGGAATCACAATTTGACAGGCTTCAGTTGCACAGTTTGAATGATACCCGATGTGTAGTTTTGCCAGACAAAGAGAATTTCACAAAAATTGAACTTGTGTTTTCTAGAAGGAGCAAGGTTGGATCTGATTCAGGAATTGATTTCTCTAAATACTGTGAAAAAGAAGTAAATACTCAACTGACAGTCATCCCATCAATTCTTCAAAGCGGTTTGCATATCCCTTCGGAAGTCTGGAAATTAACATTCAGTTCAAGTGAAGAAGCCATTTGGCTAATTATGCATCTGACTAGGTGCTGAAATCCAAATACGTTTAGATACATTCAAAATAAAGAGGCTAATGAATATTGATAATTTTTCTTTTTTAATCAATAGGCAAAAGAGTCCTTTGAGCCTGGAAGGGAATACTGTAGGGTGGATACACACATCTTAGCAAAAATAATTATTACTTGAATGCTTGCCTTTTGTGGGTCTCTGATACACTGTACATACGTTTCCTTGGGAAAGTGAGGAAATTAAATATTTCTAGTTTATGTGGTAGGTGGATCAAAACTATAATTACAGTGGTGTCCTGATTTCCATTTTGGCTGTGTTTTCTGGCTCCCTCTGTCTACTATCTGTCTTCATTAATGTCTTCTCCATTCCTCCTTGATGACTTCTTCCTTAATCTTTCTGAGTATCTTTGTTTTTCATGCTTCTCACTTATTTCACTCCCTTGATCTCAATATTTCAAAACATTTGAAATACTATTTTTATCTTACATTCATTGTATGCTCTTAATACTGAGGATGTTTATAGCTTTTAGACTTACAATTTTGGAAAGAATAGCACTGGCAATTCTTTTCTGTTTCAGAGTTTTGCATTTAAGGATTAATTCATTCTTGCATGAAGATTTCTCACAAGTGGAAAAGGAGTGTTGACTGAGTTACCAGGAGTTGATGGATTTGCCATATCTCTTTTCTCCTGGGTTTACCCTCTTTGCCCAGGGCTAAGAGAGTGTAAGCTATGTGGAATCAGTGAAACAGAACAAGAAAAATGCAGAGAACATCCAAGAACATCCAATGCTCCTTTTAGATTTTCCCCTCACCTCCTTTTCTTGAAGGGAAGCAATACATGGCTTTAAGTCATTCCTGTTTATTTTGTTCAAATAGTTAACTTGTACTCATCCATGATAGAGTAATTCTTTATATTGCCTTGATGTTGGGAAAACGTGATGTGAAAATGATCCTTTTCAAAGGGTATAAACAGACATTACTTGTGCTTTAAATAGCATTTTAACCTTTGGTTATGCCACTGCACCTGTGGTAAGACAAACGCTTTGGAGTTTATCATGTGCGTACGTGTTTTCTCATGCTGTTAAGTGGATAGTTAGCAACTGGGGATACTGCCTGACAGATGGAGTAACTCTAGAGTTCTCTCCATACAATGGGCTTGGCATGACTACCCTCTTTTTCTGCTTGCTTACTAATGGGGTCGTTGATGCCATGAGATTGCATATTTTACAGGCTCTTTAATATTACATTCCAATAAATAATGGAACTATTGATCATTGGTAAAATATTTCCATTAGTCGAGGCTCGCCTTTAGCTTAGTGCAAGGTCATTCTTTACCAGTTATCACTGTCACATGTTCAAATAATAAATAAGCTTTTGTATCCCTTCTTTTGCTTCTTCCTTTGTAAAGGGAGCTGAATACCTTTTGAATCCTGTTGCTTGAATGTGCCATCTGCCTTGTTTGAGGAAGATGGTCCTTGGCAGAAAAACCAGTGGTATCTAATCTGAAATTCTAAACTGTGTAAGCATATTGCCAGTAGAGGTGCAATCTTCTACTAGACAGAGTTAGACTTCAGTCTCTCTACTAGTATAAGAACATTTCCCGTTTGTTCTTACCATATGTTAAGACATAATAATGTAACTCACGTGGGATTTAAAAAGAAGTAACTTGCATTGGATGAGGAAGTTACGTCTGGAAGGATGAAAGTTGGTTTGGGTAGAGAATTACAGGGGTTTTTTTTGGTCATAACAAAGCTTTCTACTACCTTACGGGGCTCCAAAGATGAGCAAAATGTGTCACGTTATTTTGAGGTATGGTTTTAGTTTTTAACAAGAAAAAGATACACAAATATCTTTCAGAACATGGGGTAACCAGACTAATTATGAGTTTGAGTGTAACATCGTGTCAGTCCATTTCAGGAGCGGCTCCTTCATTGAAATCACCAAGGCATTTCCTCTGAACCTTGACAAAAGTCAGCATTGAGTGGTGCTATCTGGGAGGACTGTCTTAATCAAGGCTGTTAAAGGAAGGCAATTTCTGCAACTAATTCCTTTTCAGATTATACCCCAAAGTTGTGTTGTGTGCCTGATAACATGGTTTTCCTCTTTTGTATTTGCTTTCGTATCTAGATCCATAAATATTCTGCACTTCTATACAGGGGGAAAAAAGCCCAGACTTCACAGCAATGGATTTTATTCTACTGTAAATTAATTATAACATAATGATCGATGTTTATGAATATCAAACCATTATTTAATGTATTAAGGCATGTTTTTCACAACACTTTGAGATTATTTTTGTCTCTATTAGGTGTTTCTAAGAGTTCTTTGAAAATTACTGCCAATAAATTACTTGTTGACAGAGGTGGCTTTAAGAGTGAGTTTATGGTTTTATTGCTGGTTTAAAACAGATGATATTGTTGTCAAGGCAATGAACTCCTCTTTTCCCCCAAGGAAAGAATTGCTTACATTTCTATGCTCCAGAAATGGTATTTTGCTGAAAAGCCAGTAAAGTGGGGAGAAGTGAAAGAAGGGCAAAATGGAGAAGAGAAACTATTTATTGTGTAAATAGAGGTTGCTAAAAATATTTTTCCATTCAAACACAACCTTTATTATTTTTTCACAAAAAAAAAAAAAGTTTGTGGAAAATGCCTTGTAGATAACGTCAGTTAATTGGAACTAAAATTCACTTGCTTTGTATTTTCTTTTTCACTAATGCTCATGTTAAGGGAAATTACATTGGCATTTATAATTGACTGGTAATGAAATAACAGCCTCTCCTTCTTGAGAGCCAGGTGAGGATGCCAAAAAGCTCTCTGAAACACGCAGCATTAAGAGAGGCATTTATGAATGAGTTTCAGACTTTTCCCCAGCTCCTACACAGTATCATGTGTGCTGGAAATCACCAGGAGTCACTACAAAGAAACCAAGTGTTGATGTGCAGAAGTGTGAGCCCTATTCACGTTCGTAGATAATGTTGGTCAATACAGAAGAGTTTTGACTAAGCAGCATGCCTCATGGAAGCTGCTGAAGGGTTGAAAATGAATGTTGAGAATACAGTTACAGATCAAGTGATGGACAGCTTGTTTAAATACAAGTATATAACATGGTCAAAACTTTGAAGTGATAGTATTTTTTTGTTATTGTTAACTTATATTTGTCGTGGTACTGTTATTTTTTAAGTTCATTAAGGCTTTTAGACCAAATATGTTCAATTGAGAAAGTGGAGGACTTCTGAAAAGGCAGTTTCTGTCCTACTTCACTTGTAAATGCTTTTAATGCTCCTTTTGGACACAGTCACTGGAAAGCATTAATCTTTTCAGTTGCAAAAGTATTTTATTTTTGACATAACTCAGAGTTACAGATTCCATCTGGCTGTTAGTCCGTGGAATGTGCCTCTCATTACATATACCTTTTAGATCATTTTGTCCAGACATGCAAATTTATCATGGTTGAATGTTCTGTTAATTCGATGTGATTTCAAGAAAATAGTAGGAAGCTGTTCTGACAGTGGATTGCTATGTTATTTATACCTTATTTAATTATAAAATGAGTTTGGATTTTTAAAACCTAAGAGCTTTCTGATTTGCCTAGATCCCCTGCAGCTATGCATGATACTGTAAACAGGCTTCTTATATAAAGACAAAGACATAAAAAAAATATAGCTGACTCTGAAGGCTTGATTAACATATATATATATTTTTAAAGAGGGTTAACACAAAGTCTTCTGATTTCCCTTGGTTTTGATATCTAAGCTGAAAATGCCTTTTCAAAGAAGAAATAGTATTTTTGAGGACACTTCACCGTAATTTTTTTCATGCATAAAAAAAGGATAGGGCTAGCTTACAAAAGGAGAACTACTTTGTTTTCAAATAATTCCTTCATTTTAGAAGTTATTACTGCCTCCTCTATGCTCTCTTCCGCTTCTCTTCTGGCCAAGAACATTTTCTTGTTTTTAGTGAAGTTCTTTTCTCTTTTTCCTTATGTAGTGATTTTGGTTTTCCTTTGTTCTCCCTATTTGGTATGCATATGAAAGCGGATGGTCTGTCGTTCACTGGGAGCAAATCCAGACGACCTAAAGGACCCAATCAAAATTAGTATTCCACGCTATGTCCTGTGTGGGCAGGGAAAGGATGAACACTATGAGTTTGAAATAAAGGTAAGTGCTTTTAGTTGCTTCTCCTTAATGTTTGGTGTCTCTGTACGCACATTGCTTGCGTTTGTACAATGGTAGCATCATAGTAACAGTATTAACAGATGAATGCCTTTTGTTTAATCACTGCTAGTTTGCTCCATCTGACTGTGGGTGTTCACTGTCAGCATCACAGTTAGTGAAGACAGATAGAAACAGCAGCTGGAAACATACCTGGGAATCTGCAGGTTCCAGAAATCACCTTACGGACCCCAGTGAATTGTATTTTTTGTTCCATTAAGTGTAATTTTTGGTTCTCTTTCCATTGTCTAAGTGGATCGATTGTACACAGGAGGTTGGTGGTCAGGTTCTTGGGGGTGAGCAGTTCCAGATCCAAATTGAAATAATTCAATTGAAAGTGTTGCAGAAATGAGGATTAAATGCATATAGGTTGAAGGGAAGCCTTTTACTGGGATGTGAGTGTAAGGTATACAAATGATTAGACTTGAAATAGTTACCTGTAATAATGAAAGAATAATCAAAGTATTTTACACATATCCGCAACAAAAACTCGATTCCTTTTGGGCTCATTTTGTTGTTCTGATTCTTCCCACACTGCATTTCCAGGGTCTCACTTCTCCAAACTGCTTCCCCTCTGTTGTAGTGGCTTCCTCAGTTGATCTGTGCAGAAATGCTGGAAAAAATGCATATTCATTTTGTATCCTCTGGTACTAAGCCAGTGTTTTTTCAGAGCAAGATGTGAAGTCTAATTGGAAATGTGTTCCCAGTGCATGTGGACATGTAGCATAACTGATGTACATGGCATCAGAGACAGAGTTGGCAGCCACCTTCACTGAATGTGCTGCCAGATGCTTCATTAGCTGGTGAAAGTTGGATGAGTGACCTGCCCTCCTGGTGTGAAGGACCATTTTTGAACTATGCTCACATTCTCTTTTACAAAGGCTTTTATTAAGATGGGTGATCTTAGCTCTGTGCTAATTAAATTCACATCTTGAAACATGCTGCACAATTTATGGATGGAATACTTCCTTTTGCCTTTTGAACTTTGAACTGAATTTCCTTGGGCCAGCAAAAGCCCAGAGCCAAAGAGGTGCTGAGAGAAGAGTTAAGAACATATGAAACTTCCCCAAGGATTGTTCTACTTTCCAACTATTTTCAGCACATGGGATTTACTAAACTGGGCAATGGTTAGTGAAGGTAGATAAAAGTGAAAAGGTATTTTCTCTTTTTAGTAAGTTGGTGGATTTCTCTTCCAAGTATTCTCCCTTCATCCCTAAAACACATGTAAGCATCTGCAAGATCTTAGGATGAAGGGGCAGTTAAAAAAGTATGTGCATGAAGAATTGGACTTACCTGGAAGGAAATGTTGCAGAAGAAAAGTGTTGAAAGGGGGTGGGATTCATAACCAGGAAGGAACAGGAGGATATATTTAAGGAGAGATACAAATACATATCAAACTAGGCACCAGCAAATCTGTTGCTTGTATTTTGTTTCTGTGAGAAGCACGACTTGCTCCCTAATCTCAGTAATAGCATGGAATAGACAGATGCTCTAGCTAAGAGCAGTGTGTATGGAACGGCTGTTGTATCATGCTTGCCACAACAATCTTTTCTCTCTCTCCTGTACCATGTCTAGGCTGCCTCATAAAGAAAGTGCTGCTTAAATAAACGCTTTGATGAAGTTCAAAGCAAAGAAATGGATGACACATGGGGTAGAGAATGGGCTATCACTTTCATAATTGTCTTCCGTTGCTGTCAACTTCATTAGAGCACTAAATATTTTTACTGAAGCTTCTATGGACCTTAGTTTGGCAGTCTTTGGGGTGTTTCCTACAGTCATTCCCTTACACAAATTGATCAACTGTTTATGCTTTTACCTTTCCCTCCATGTGTCACAGTGGGCTGCTTTTGCTGCTTTTGCTGTGGTCAGGATTTGGCTCCAAGCTACAATCCACAAACTTCCCGTAAACTTTTGTATTTTAAACCTTTCCCCTGCAGAGCTCCCAGCTCTGCTTTGATCTGTATTAATCTTCAGCTGCTGCTACGGTTATTCTGTGGGAAATCAGAATACATGGAATAGTGATTTCCTCCCCCCCACACCTTTAAAATCAGGAAAATAGGAAGACGTGAGAGAGGATAGAACATGTATCTCTTTATTTCATCCCTTCCCGATGGGTCAGGACACAATGTCAAGTTGCTGAAATAATTCCTAATTTCAGCCTTACTTTACTTTATTCAGGTGTGTTGCAGATGATCTCCTCAGAGTGTGTCAGACTAGGGGAAAGGCTGAGGTATGGTTTATCTTATGTCCTTTGCTAGGTCTCAAATAAGCTTTCTTCACCAAGGCTTCTATTACTTCTGGGGAAAATGGATGGCTGACCTGCTTGCATGTTACAGCACTTGGAAATCTGACAAAGGGACAAGGGATGATTGAGTTGAATTGTGAGACAGTCCTTTGAATCTTTAGGCATCTCAGAAGTGTTTCCTTCAGCAGATGTTTCTAGTCATTGTAGTTAAATCCTGGCATATTGCTGTATAGAGGAACAAATATAATAAATTTCTAAATAAAACCAACATACACATTTCTTCTTGTGACATGCAATAGTAAAGATTATTTCCTTTATATGCCAAAAGAGAGTGAGTGAGTTCCACTTTTCTTGGCAGCATCACAGTCAGCTCGTAAGTCTTTCAACCCTAACAAACCATCCAAAAATACTTTCTTTTAGTGCAGGTTCAGCATCTTGTCCATCTAGACATATATAACATTTGATATTGGGCCAGAAAGATGGTCTGTCCACTTGGGTTCTTCCACTGGATACAGATCCTACTTTAAGATGTTGAACGAGTCCCATGAGAGCCTATTGGAGAGAATTCAAAATAGAAACAAATGCATGCTGTGTTACAGTTAAGATAGCACCTTCTCCTTTCCAAGCAAGAGACATCATGGAGCTGTTTGTGCTGGTCTGCTATTAAGTATTCGGTATGAATAGATACGTTTCCAAAAAACCTTCCATTTGAGTGATAGTTTTATTTGTTGTCTGTAAAGACATGATGGAACAGTAGTAACTTAATCAGGTCTAAACATATTTATGTTTGAGCTGAATTAGAATACCAGAAAACTATTCTTGTATTCTCCCCTTCCTTTCATATTGTTGTGATATGCAGAATATTCAGACAGGGCTGTGCTAGCAAGAGCATGTGGGAAGAGCTTTTGCATCGATAAGACTGTTGGTGTCTGTTCCAGGCAGTGCCTGTGGTTGCAGACAGTACCTGCAGACAGCTAAAGGAGCACTGAGGCAGGAGGGAAGGGGAATTCCAGCTCACATAAAGGCTTGCAGGGTCTCCCAAGAGCAGATGATGGAAACAAAACCTGGAATCAAGCACAACCCTTCAGGGGATTCTCTGGCAAGAGGGAAAGTTGTAGATAAGCCTTCTCATTTTAATTCCTCTTTCC